TAGAATCACAAAATTTCAACTCAATTTTTAGTACTTTACAAGAAAAAATGGAAGAAAAAATAAACGAAGTTTAGTTAATAAATTTTTGTATTTTCATGTTATTTAAAAAATGTTATTGTGTCTTTAGAAATAAAGAAAATACTTAGACTAAATAAGCAAGTGCTACTTTAAGGTAAGTCGCTGACTTGTTGAGTGGCTAAGTCAACTTGACCGGGTCATAGGTCACCGTCTATCCACTCTGATACAACTTTGTGTTATTCTATTTTGTATATAAATAGTACAATTATTTTTAATAATTTATTTTTATATTTTTACTTTTTTTTCCTTTTTTTTTGTTTTTTTTTTAAGGCTGTTACTTTAACAGTTGTATATGTAAAATAAATGTTTTCCATTTCAGGAAGTGTAATCGGTGACTCTAATTATCTAACAGTCCAAGACAGCCGTCTAAATGTTCGTGACAATGGGAAGTCTATTCGCACGAGGGTAATGAGGGTAAAATGTCAGAGCCAGAGAAATGCTCTCATAAGTTGACAATTTATTTAGAGTTGTGAAAATGTAAAATACAATATTCTTGTTGAAATTGATCCTAAGAGTATGGTTTATTATTAATTTTTTTCCATATGAAAAATTTTCTTTTTTCTTCTAAATATTTTTTTAGAATTACTAAAAAAAATTTTCTTAACTTATTTTTGAGTTTGAAAAAAAATTGATTGACTAATAAATTAAAAGAAAAAAAATTTAATATATATGGAAAAAAAGAGAAAATTACCAAAAAATTTGTTTACATTGCCTGAATGTATTACTAATCTAGATTAGTCTGTGGTAGAAGACTGTGGACACAATTTGGCTTTGTAAACCTTTCAGTGAACCGACTGTAATCAGTAAAGGCTTTTCTATAAATTTTCTGTAATTATTTTTCTTCCTCCTGCATACAAGTTCAGGCAAATACGGGTACTAATCTAAATTGACTGTATAGTTAAATGTTTTATTTAAAAACGTCTATTATAGAATATACAAAAAAAAAAAAAATTGCCTCTCCATTTGAAAAAATTCTTTCAATCCTGGAAATATTTTCTTATAATTTATATTTTAAATTAAAAATGAAAATATTTGTAAGTTGATTTGAAATTTTTCCAATTTCAAGATTGATTTAAAAAAAAGTTTCTTTTACTCTTTTCAGAGTTTTTATTCCCACAGAGAAGTAACTGACTTTGGTGATGTGTTACTGGTTGGTATACAGAGAAAAAGTGGCACATTTGTCAGGCTGAAGTTTGGAGATGACGTATACCAGCTAAAGCTAGACCAAAACTTACTTCGATATTGGTAGACAGCAGTTATATAAAAAAAAAAGATCGACGGCAAATATTGGCTCAAAATTTAGGACAATCGAAAACATTGACAAGTTTCCCACATATTGACGACAATCAATATTTAAACCCTACAATTGGTAGAAAAAAATTATAATATTTTTATAAATATACTCAAAAACACTAAATTCTTTTTTTTACAACGAATTACTTTATTTTAAATGATTTTAATTTTTATTCAATAAATGTGATTAATTTTTTTAAAATTACATAATTGATGATATTTTTTTTGAAAAGAAAAATTACACGTCTTCAAGCTGATCTATTTCCCATAACGAATAAGGAACGTGAACAGAAAATTGATGAATTGATAAAGGAACAGGAAGGTATGACTAAATGGAAGAAATATTGCAGCAAAAAAAAATTAAACGAGAGAATAATGGAAAAGTATGCATTTTAAGTGAGAGAGTTAAATTTTACAGAAACGAGAAAAAAAAAATTCCAAAAACTGTTTTTTAATTAAAACTAATTTTAATTTTAAAAAATTGGAAAAAAAATCAGAAATTTTTTTTTTTTATAAAAATACTTTTTTAATTAAAATAACAAAAATACAGGTATAACTATTTTAAAAAAGTATTTGACTATCGAAATGATGAGTTCTTTTTTTCTCAAGTAAAATCTCAAATTTTCTTCTGAATTTTTACCAACAGTTTATGTCAATTATAAATGAATGGACGAGATAAAAGTTTCTTTCACATTTTTAGTACTACTTGCATCGTTCATGCATATTTAAACTTTTTCTCTGCTTCCGGAAACAGAACAGTGGTTTTCCGTATAGAATTTTGTGTACTAAATGTATGAATTTACGTAACCACTTTCATTAGTTACCTTAGGAAAAAAAAAAAAATTTTTTCTTTTTATTTCTAGAGTTTTTTTTTTAACATCTCTGATGTTTAAACAAGACCAAATACAATTCTTTTTGAAAAAGGAATTAATTTGAATAAAATAATGTACAAATATAAATTTCAAACAATTTTTGTTCTCGTTTATTTATATATGATTTCGTTAAGTGATTACTGAACTCAAATAATGAAAACGTTGATCACAATGTTTTCTTTTGCATTCAACGTCTACTAATTAATTAAATCTATTGTTTAGATGACTGACGTTATTTATCCAAGTTTTATTATTATTTTCCTCTTGTGAAAACTAATTACTATTTCAAAAAAATATTTCATTAAGAAAACTAATTATTTTCTTTATTAAGTACACTCTAGGAGAAATTTTTCTTATAAAGATTTCAAAATGACTTTTTAAAGGATTTTAAAATATGTGCCAAAGTGTTTTGATTTTGATTCAAAATCACAAAATTTATTTCTTTAAAAAAATTCATGACTTTTGAATTTTTTTTTAACAAAATTTAATGTTTAGTGGTAATAGCTGGATAAATTTTAAATTTAGTTTAGCAAATTTTTTTGTCAAGATAAATATGATTAGACTTGCCTCTATCACGGGGAAATTTTCAGCGCGAGAAGGGTTTCAGCTGTATGTCAGAGCATTAATTATAACGTTATCGCAACTCATCCGTTTCTGGCAGGGATGGATGCAAGAGATTACTGAAGAGAGGCGTCACGTAATGTTTGTTGGATAATATAATACGCGTCAAACGTAAAAGCAACTCTCAAATTTGGTGTCTGGATTGCATATATATATATATCATCAGCAATATTCTGTTAAGATTAATTTACTCGATTAGAAAAAAAAAAAAAATTTTTTTGAATATAATATATTTTTAATTTTCAAAATAGAAGACCACAATGTTTTCAAAGATTCCTAATAAAGCATGTAGAAAAATTAATACAAGTAAAATTATTAAAAATATAAATGAATCACATAAAATAAAGGAAACAAAAAAAAATAATATTTACGAACATAATTATCGACACATAACATTTTTTTTTATTTTTCCTTTATTCAAAATATATTGAATTTACTTTTAAAAGAAAATTCGAATAAAAATATATTTACACCATTAAATTTATAAAAAAATGATAACTGTAAAAAAAATTAATTCAATAATTTTAAAAAGATAATTTGTAATATGAAATTAATTATTATGGAACAGTTTAATTGAATTAGAGAATTATCTATATAGATCAGAACCCAATTATAAAAAAAAAATTGAATTTGAAAATTGTATATTTTTCATTAACTCTCATTTCCCGTTGACATCATTAAAAATAATTATTTCTCAGTAAAATTATTATTTTTAATATTTATTAATTTTGTTACAAAAAATGTCAAGTTAATTATTTCTTTAACGAATAATTCAATTGAATATTAAATAGTCATATTTTCATTTAGACAGAGACATTTTTAAATTGATTGACATTATTTCCACCAATATTTAATATATTCACTTCGTAAGAATAAATATTTCGTTTAATTAAAATCATGGATTTAACGTTTCACTTCCATTTTCAAATAACAATATTTAATTTAATTCAATAATAATTAGAGATATATATATTCCTTTTTTCAGATTTTATACCTTTCCCACGTGCTTTAAGAGCTATATATATAAAGCTCCAGGGATGGGACAACCATATATATATGTATGAATAGGTAATTAAACCTATATGGTGAAATATTTTAACTTTAATAATAGAACGTCCAAACAAGATTCAGTCTTTTCTGTCAAAAAGATTTCTGGACGTTCTATCAATTAAATTTTTTAATTTTGAAGCTCATTTAATGAAGAAAATAAATGAGTTTAAATCGTATTGATAAAGAAAATTAAAATTTTTTTGCCTTTTTTTACGAATTTGTATATTATATATTAATTTGGAAATTTTATTTTCATGCAAATTATATATAAAATACGATCCCATTTTCAAAAGTATTGTCTTAATAGTATTTGTAATAAAAGTTCGTCATTTCGAGGATTACCATATTTTTAATTTAATTAAAATTTTATATTACTTCTAATAATTTATTACTACAACTAATATATATATATATAATAGCAAATATTTTTTCTGATAATTTTACAAAAGTACCAAGTTATAAAACTTTTAAAAAAAGCTTTTAAAAATTATACATTAATTTTTTTTTAATTTTTACTCGTAATGACGTAAAAAAGAATATATTTTTCTTTTGGAAAATAATCAACTAACTAAAAAAAGTTTAAAATTATTACATCCTTAATTTTCGCTTATACATTCTTTCATTTATTCGGAATGGCAAAAAAATTTGCTTAATTTAAAATGCAGAAATATTTTTCTAATGAATTAACAAGAAAACTGTATTTACGAATAATAATGGATGAAGAATGATTCCTCGAAATGACAAAACCCTGAGCTTCGTTATTAATATTGAAAATTAATTTAGATGGTTAGTTTTTTTTTAAGTAATATATGTAACAGTTATGATAGAAGAAACAAACAACATAAAATGACATGAACGACGAACGTCAATGAAATACTGTCAATACAGATTATAAAACGGACACAGTCAAAGAGAAACAGGTAGATATAGATATATATATAATATGAATCATAATTATATTTATAATGCCATATCCAACAGCTTTAACGCACGAACGAAAAACGTCAGATATCTGTATCACTCTGGCATTCCTAAGAACTTGGCAAATCAATCAAACGTCAATTCGTTCCGACAAAATTTCGGCACCTTGAAACCATCATAAGTCCAGGAGCCTAACTTCAAAACACAGGTCTGTATGTCGTATGGAAAGAATTCAACGTCGATGGTGCAGGAAGATTTATAAACAGCTGGTGGCTGCCAAACGACCAATCCAGAAAAGTACACTGTCGCCTTTGTCATCAATGTCACCTCGTAATTTCCATCAGCGCTGCAAACACCGAAGAAACAACCCCAACGTGATCACGATTGGTCCTGAAAAGACGAAGGGATGCTGCCGCTTATTTTTCCCGGGGCCAATTTTTTTATTTATTTAATTTCGATTTTTTTCTTTATACAAATTTATACTTTTTCTCAAAAAAAAAAAAAATTCTTTCATAATAACACCTAGTTCTCTATTCAAATTAGTTCAACATTTTATTGTCACGAAATGGGGACGCAAGTAAGGCGAAAAAGTATTTTTTACATACCTGACAGAAAATATCTTTTTATTAATTTTTTCTTTAAACGATCGATATACAGAAAGTTTCCGTAACGTCAATTGAATATAATTACGAATCGGATTTAACATCTTCAAAATGGAGGATTCAATATGGCTGACGATTTTTTTAGAAATTGATCGAATTCGTCTGAAACTAATGCATTTGACATCAATTTTCAGAAATTCAAAATGTCGGATCCAATATGGCGGTCTTTTTTTGTTAAATTTCATCACATTTGCTTCACACTCATTACTCAGGGGTTTTCAGTGTCTCTGATTGAAGTAGGTGAAACATACTCCTTTGGAAAAATTTCCCGAGTTCACCTGAATTAAAAATCAACACTAAAGTAGTTTAAAAATTGTTTAAATCCTATACAAATAAAACAATCGATATTTAAACAATCTTTTAATATTAATTCATACTTAAAGGATAAAAATAAAAGTTTAAAATGATTTCATAAAATTTTTATACAATGAATAATAAAAATGTGGTTAAAATAATTTTATGAAAATATTTAGTCATACCAAATATTTAGTTATTCATGACGTTTCGAAATTCCTCTGTACATCAAATATAGAGTGATATTATTTTCTATAAAATGTTGCGTTTAATAAGCCATCAGGAGATGTAAAATATTCTGTTCACCTCATAATTCTTCGTTGAAATTTAAAGCTCACAATATTATTTATATAAATTTGTGTGATAATATTTTTATATATCACACTTTTACTCTATAAGGAAACTTATTTTGAAATAGCTAAAAAAAAACTGAACGATGATATTATATTTATTTTGTAAATTAGTTTATTAAATTTTAAATATATTTGAAATATAAAATGTGAGTAATTTTCTAGGATGCTTACAAAATTTTAATAGTTACAAAAAACTATTTTTTTCATAATTTGAAAATACATGAAAATTTTATTTCATAACAGGGCAAAAATGTGATAGGTCAGAAAGGGACGCATGAATATTCCCTTGATTAGACTTGACGGAATTTTTGTGGTGTCAAATTAAAAATTATCAAATTTACATTCAGTAGAATTTTAAAAAAGAGATTTTATAATAAGCCCAATTTTAATAATGAAAAATTTCTATTTAACAAAATTCTGATTTTGTAGAATTTCTATATTACTGAACTTAGATAAAGCAGATTTTCTAATATATCGAATTTTCAAATAATACAATTTCCATTTAACAAAATTGATATAGGGTAAGTGTACTAATTACGGCGAGTGCACCAATTACGGCGCGTTCATAAAAAATAACTATTATTATTATTATATTTAATATAACTGTTGCCAAATGATTAAAAAAATTATTTTAATCTTTTTTTGATACAAATACTTATAAAGATGCACATTTAAAAAAATTATTAATTTAATTATTCGAGATCAAATTTTTTTCGGCGCCGCAATTGAAACATTTTTAAGATTTCCATTGGCTCCAATTTCGGCGGGCAAAGTATCTTGAAAATACACGTAATTTTGGTCACCGAAATTGATACACCGAAACTGATACAAACGCGCCGCAATAGAAAATTACGGTATTAGTTTTAATTTCTCATATTTGTTTAAATAATCGATTTTTATAGAGCTAAATTTTTTTTTAATATCTTAATAACATAAGCTTTTAGTTTAATAAGTCTTAAATTGAGTTTATAAAATAGAAATGTCGAATTTTCTATTTCAAAGGTGCTTTGACTCGAATCGCGCCGCAATTAGTACATTTACCCTATAGAAAAATTTTCATAAAAAAAAGTTTTTATTTATCAGAATTGTTCTTTTGTCGAATTTCTATTTATCCGAATATTCAATTAAAAAGTATTTTTATTTACAGAATTTCCAACTAAATGAATTTTTATATACCAAAATTCTCATTTAACAAAAGTTTTATTCAAAAAATGTCTATACAACCTAATTTTTATTTAATAGTATTGTCATTTAACAGAAATTCTTTTTAGACAAATTTTTGAGACAGAGAATTTCTAATTCACCAATACTTTATTTGACCGAAGTTTCACTTATCCGAATTTTCATTAGACAGAAATGTTAAAATGTCGAATTTCTATTTGATAGAACTTTCATATATCAGATTGTCCACTTGGTATACAAATTTCAGCGGGAGTTTTAAATTCAACCAATCAAAAATTATTAAGAAAATTTTGATTGGTTGAATTTAATTTGTATACCAAGTGGACAATCTGATATATGAAAGTTCTATCAAATAGAAATTCGACATTTTAACATTTCTGTCTAATGAAAATTCGGATAAGTGAAACTTCGGTCAAATAAAGTATTGGTGAATTAGAAATTCTCTGTCTCAAAAATTTGTCTAAAAAGAATTTCTGTTAAATGACAATACTATTAAATAAAAATTAGGTTGTATAGACATTTTTTGAATAAAACTTTTGTTAAATGAGAATTTTGGTATATAAAAATTCATTTAGTTGGAAATTCTGTAAATAAAAATACTTTTTAATTGAATATTCGGATAAATAGAAATTCGACAAAAGAACAATTCTGATAAATAAAAACTTTTTTTTATGAAAATTTTTCTATATATCAATTTTGTTAAATGGAAATTGTATTATTTGAAAATTCGATATATTAGAAAATCTGCTTTATCTAAATTCAGTTAAATAAAAATTCTATACAAAATCAGAATTTTGTTAAATAAAAATTTGTTGTTATTAAAATTGGGCTCATTATAAAATCTCTTTTTTTAAATTTTACTAAATGTAAATTTGATAATTTTTAATTTGACACTACAAAAATTCCGTCAAGTCTAATGAAGGGAATATTCATGCGTCCCGTCAGAAATAGCTTAGAAAATTATATTTTAAAAATATAATAGATTAAAATCAGTTAGTTTTAATTAATTAAAAAAAAAAAAATTTTTAAAATGCAATCAACCTGAAATAGAATTCATCTTGTGTATATTTGGTGTTATCAAGAATGAAAGAATGAAAAGATTTATTTTCCGACAGCATCCCTTCTACAAGCGAGGTCTTCGATGCTCAAATCACATTACCATTAATTATTAACTGACAAATTCTGCAAATAGCTTGAAAATTTGTCAAAAAAAAAACAAAAAATATTTAGAAAATTAAAAAAAAAATTTTGATAACTCATTTAACAATGTCGTGCGTTGACACCGAGCTGCAAAATCCTCGCTAAGACACGTATATTTATATATATAGATAAATTTGCTCTCTGACACTAATCTAAACTTAGAAACTATTCTGCTCCGAAACAAGGTTCATTATTGAGCAATAACGATCGTTGTTTCGGTCAGTTGTCGTGCTGAATCTCAACTAACTAGCATGCAAGTTTACCTTGAAGCCATCGTAGGTCCACGAACCAAACTTCAGGACACATGTTTGCTCGTCGAAGGGGAAGTACTCCACATCAATTTCACAGGATGACTTATAAATGGCGGGCGGCTTCCACTCAACCAGTCCTTCGTGGTAGATGGTGGCCTTCGTGGCCAAGGTCACCTCGAAGTTTCCGTCCGCGCTGCGAGCGAGCACATTAGTGGTTCTGGGCGCTGCGGCGGTCGAGCTTACTTTGTACTTCCGATTCAATGTTAAGCCCATTTTTTGTTTTTGTTTAAACTTTTATTTTATTATAGGCACACAACCCTTATTTATAAATCAGGTTTTTTTTTTTTTTTTTGTTTTTCAAAAATTTACTTTAAAGCAAAAAAGAGTGAGAGAAAAATTAATTCTCGCGTTTATTACTCTTCGATTGCTCCGTGAAATTTATAAGCATTGTACATCGTTTTATTGTTTTCTTTTCTTTTTTTTTTAGAAAAAAAATTTCTTTCTATTTTTCACGCTGTTTTAGGAATTATTTTTAAAGTTAAAAAAAAGATTGGGCTACTCAGATAGAAGTTAGTCCATTCGAACTTTTGTACAAGTTAGTTAGTTAAACATATATATATAGAGAGACTGGAAAGTCTAAAAATAATCTGAGCAGTTTAACTCGACAGAATTGTTTAAGTTCCCTTGTAAATATATCTATTAAGCTCCTAAAGAGAAACTCTTGTTAAAATTGAAACAAGAATTTTGTTTCAAAAACTGGTCAGTCACTATAAATTAAAAAAAATTAAATTTCTTTTAAAATAACTGATCCAAATGTGAAAGAATAATGATCCAATGAAAGAAAAACTTTCCAAATGTTGCGAATATTATTTTTATATAAATAATATACAATTTTTATAATATTTATTAATTGAAAAATTTAAGTTTATATTTAATATGTATCATATTTTCCTATTGCTCTTATTTCAATCTATAAACCGACTAGGAGAGAATGTAAAACTTTTTTTTGGACAATTGTTTACTCTTCTTTTTTATCGACATGTTAAAAAATAAAAAAAGAATTTCTATTTTTATCAACTAAAGTTCCGATTATCATGCAATAAAAACCGATTACATTTCTGATTTTAGCAAATTTTCATTACTCGACTTTTTTTTGTTGATAATAATGTTAGAAAAAGCTTAAATTCATTTTGGAATCTTCCCTTTAAAAAGAGAGATAAGGGAACTTAAAAAACAACTGAATATTTTTTTTTAACTTTCTTGATCTCTTTTTAAAGAAGAGTTTTGGAAGATTTATTACACGTGAATTTAAAATTTTTTCCCTAACCTCATTTAATGCGTACGTAACAAATCCAAGTTTTATTACACAACTTCAGTGAGGTAATAAAAATTTGTTAAAGTCAG